ATATTCTGGCCGCCTTGTAATCAAACAATATCTCCCCAGCAAGCGTGCCAGATATGGGATCAAGATGTATAAGACCTGTGAGAGGGCAACAGGCTATACATGTAAGTTTCGGATTTACGAGGGAAAAGATAGTTACTTGGAGCCCCCCGGATGCCCAGACTACATGGGGAGCAGTGGCAAGATAGTTTGGGACTTGGCGTCATCCTATTTCCACATGGGGTACCACTTATACGTGGACAATTTTTATTCAAGCGTGCCACTATTTAGACATTTGTTCAATTTGGGAATTTGCACATGTGGCACTGTGCGATCTAATCGCCGAGGCTTCCCCCAACGGCTTGTAAATACCCGTCTTAAAAAGGGGGAAAAAGCCTGCTTGAGAAATGAAGAATTGCTCGCAGTGAAGTGGAAGGACAAACGGGATGTTTACCTCCTGTCTTCCATTCATGCAGATACGACCGTCCAAATTACCACGGCAACTGGTGTTGTTGAGAAGCCCCTCTGTGTCCACGATTATAACCTTAACATGGGAGGGGTGGACTTCAATGACCAGATGATGCAGCCGTATTTAGTTTCCCGAAAATCCAAACGCTGGTACATAAAAGTGTCAGTTTATTTATTTCAATTGGCTCTATATAATGCTTTTTGTTCTCTATAAAGCAACTGGACATAGTGGATCATACCTAAATTTCCAGTTAGAGAACATCAGGGCCCTTTTGTATCCAGAAGGTGCTGTGCCCCAAATCCCTCTCCCAGATGCAGTTAGCCGTCTGCATGAGAGACATTTTCTCGATACCATTCCTGGTACCCCAACCCAAAGAAGACCCCAAAAAAGATGTCGTGTCTGCAGCAAACGTGGAATTAGGCGTGACAGCCGCTATTGTTGTCCCTCCTGTCCTGGCCAACCTGGCCTCTGCATCAAGCCCTGCTTCCGCCTCTACCATACACTAGTGAACTATTAGTATAGGGTACAGCACGGCACAGATCAGGGCACATTTACACAGGGTCTCAAAAGATGTTCGGTAGTCAGGAAACTGGCTATCGCATTTGGAGAGACCCTACCAGCTGTTTAAATGTTTGAAGTTTGGAAAAAAAAGTTAAAAAAAATAAATAAAAGTACAAATACCCCCCAAAAAAATAAAAAAAATGTAAAAACCAAAAATAGTTATAGTTTTTTTTGTTGTTGTCATTTTTGTGATTGTTCGACTTTCACTGGTTTATTGTTGTTTTATTGTTAACCATTTCTGTTTGCAGGAATGCTTTCAGCTGCAGCGCTGACCTGTTTATTCTGACAGCAACAGGAACTTGCTCTCAGAATAGACATAAGTCAGCGTGAGCAGCGCTGTTGGATGAGATTTTTCATCCGCAGTTATAAAAAACAGAATATATGCCAAAGCATGGGGGCCTGGGGTGGCCTGTGGGTGGATGGCCCCTATGCTTCGGCATATATATTTTATTATTTGTTGGCACATTTCATGTGTGCCCACCATTAGAAGTGGGTGGATTGAGGGAGGTTTCTAATGGTGGGCATACCACCACACACTTTTCCTTATAAAGTTGTTTTATTGAGTTTATGTTTTATTGTTAACCATTGTTGATTTTTTTGCAGGAACGTCAAACTGCAGCACTGACCTGTTTATTCTGACAGCAACAGGGTCTTGCTTTCAAAATAGACATAAGTAGGTGTGTGCAGTGCTGTCGGATGAGATTTTTCATCCGCAGTTAAAAAAAAAGAGAATATATGCCAAAGCATGGGGGCCTGGGGTGGCCACTGGGTGGATGGCCCCTATGCTTCGGCATATATATTTTATATTTGTTGGCACATTTCATATGTGCCCACCATTAGAAGTGGGTGGATTGAGGGAGGTTTCTAATGGTGGGCATACCACCACACACTTTTCATTATAAAGTTGTTGAGTTTATGTTTTATTGTTAACCCTTGTTGATTTCTTTGCAGGAACGTCAAACTGCAGCACTGACTGTTTATTCTGACAGCAACAGGGTCTTGCTTTCAGAATAGACATAAGTAGGTGTGTGCAGTGCTGTCGGATGAGATTTTTCATCCGCAGTTAAAAAAAAGAAAATATATGCCAAAGCATGGGGGCCTGGGGTGGCCAATGGGGATGGATGCCCCCCATGCTTCGGCATATATATTTTATATTTGTTGGCACATTTCATATGTGCCCACCATTAGAAGTGGGTGGATTGAGGGAGGTTTCTAATGGTGGGCATACCACACACTTTTTCTGGCAGAGATTTCTTCTCTTTTTTTTCATTCAGCCCACAGGCTGCATAAAGAAAAAAAGAACATAGCATATACACCCAACAAGGACCAGTGACGTACTGGTACATCACTGGACTTTGAATGGTTATACCAGGGTGATGCCTGCAGCTGCAGGCATCATCCTGGTTTTATTTTTTTCAGCCGGAAATGGGCTTTCATGTAAAAGCATTCCTAGTGGTTAATTAGCTGCAGAATTGCCTTTACAAGCAGCGGAGAAAATGGCCCCCCCTCCCCCTCCCTGAGATTTGCTTTCCAAAAAGGGGTCATTTGGGGGTGTTTGTTCTATCCTGGTATTTTAGCACCTCAAGAGATGTGATGGGCGGTCAGAAAGTAAAAGCTGTGTAAATTTCAAATTATCTATACCATAGTTTGTAGATGCTATAACTTTCACACAAAGCAATCAATATACACTTATTGGGATTTTTTTTTACCAAAAAAAAGTAGCAGAATACATTTTGGCTTAAATTTATGACTAACTTTGAGTTTACGATATATTTTTTATAGCTGAAAGTAGAAAAAAATTGTTTTTTTTTTTCAAGATTTTCGTGTTTTTTTGTTTATAGCGCCAAAAATAAAAAGCGCACAGGTGATCAAATACCACCAAAAGAAAGCTCTATTTGTGTGAAAAAAAGGACGTAAATTTCGATTGGTTACAGCATTGCATGACCGCGCAATTATCATTTGAATTAGTGCAGCGCTGTATAGCAAAAAAAAGGCATAAATTACAGTATCTATACCATAGTTTGTAGATGCTATAACGTTCACACAAAGCAATCAATATACACTTATTGGGATTTTTTTTACCAAAAACATGTAGCAGAATACATTTTGGCTGAAATTTATGACTAACTTTGAGTTTACGATATATTTTTTATAGCTGAAAGTAGAAAAAATTGTTTTTTTTTCAAGATTTTCGTGTTTTTTTGTTTTATAGCGCCAAAAATAAAAAGCGCACAGGTGATCAAATACCACCAAAAGAAAGCTCTATTTGTGTGAAAAAAAGGACGTAAATTTGATTAGGTACAGCATTGCATGACCGCGCAATTATCATTTGAATTAGTGCAGCGCTGTATAGCAAAAAAAGGCATAAATTACAGTATCTATACCATAGTTTGTAGACGCTATAACGTTCACACAAAGCAATCAATATACACTTATTGGGATTTTTTTTACCAAAAACATGTAGCAGAATACATTTTGGCTTAAATTTATGACTAACTTTGAGTTTACGATATATTTTTTATAGCTGAAAGTAGAAAAAATTGGTTTTTTTTCAAGATTTTCGTGTTTTTTTTTTTGTTTATAGCGCCGAAAATAAAAAGCGCACAGGTGATCAAATACCACCAAAAGAAAGCTCCATTTGTGTGAAGAAAAGGACGTAAATTTTGTTTGGGTACAGCATTGCATGACCGCGCAATTATCATTTGAATTAGTGCAGCGCCAAACAGCAAAAAAAAGGCCTGGTCATTAAGGGGGGTAAATCCTCTGGGGCTCAAGTGGTTAAGGGATGCAGAGCTGTATTCAATTGTGTTTTTGTACCTGCTCAATTTTGATTTCTGCTTTTCTTTTGAACCTGCCCTGACAAAAGTAGGAGATATAAAACAAATCTTCCCTTTTCTGTTTAAGGTGTTCTGGCAATTAGTATATCGTAGTTTAGGGGTAAGGCACAGACACAAAATTCTTGGTTATTTCCTGCAGGTGCTGCCTTCCCATTGCAAGGGCAGGAGATAAATGTTTCACCTGGTTATATTTAGGGATCTTAAATTAGAAGTTTAGACTATACAATATGCACCATTTAAATGCAGCCTTCTCACCTTTTCCCATTACACTGCATACAATTTACTGTAAATCACAATTTAAATACTTTCCCCCCCCCCGGGGTTTTCTTTGTGGTCATGTGACCAAAAAACTCTGTCTCCTTAGTGTATTGTGTGGTTGGTGGGAGGGGATTGCTCCCCTCCAACAACACCTAGAGCAGGGGATTCCAGTGGGTGACATCACATCTGTATGGAGTTCAGTCTCTACGTCGGACCTGCACATTACAAATGGCAGCCAGAGGTTTTCAATCAGGCCACCACATTATGAAGGGAAAAAGGTTTTAAATTGCGATTTATGTTAAAGTGCATTCAGTGCAGTGGGGAGAAAGCATTTAAAAGGTGGGGTGATGTATAGCCTAAACTTTTTAAAAGCAGAGCTCCAGTCAAAATCTAAAAAAATAAGTCAGCAGCTACAAAAACTGTAGCTACTGACTTAAAAAACAGACAAACAGAGCCTGTCCCTCGATCCAGTGATGTCCTCACTGCAGCTGGTTCAATGGCCATCCTCTCTCCCTGGTGTCGGTATCTTCAGTCTGCACATGTGTGAGTAGCAATCCACCTTGTGAATGGTTCCATAGTCTTCTGGGACCTGTCTCGTGTCCAAGAAGACTACGGGAATGGAGGACAACTTCTGCTTTCTATCGCCTAGGCAATTGCTGTGGAAGTGGGATCAGATACCTGTAAAGGATTGGCACCTTTGGGGAGTGGGTACCCAATTTTAATAGGGGATGGGGGACGAGGCCTTAAAGCAGAACTTCCCCCTTTGGATGGAGCTCCATGTTAATTAACATCGATTTTTAAAACCCTATTCCAATTCTAAATTAAACTAAGTCTAATTGGTCACTGGTTCTTATTAAACACTTGTTAAAAATTAATCGATACTGTGGTTATACTTTCAGAACATTCACGAGGTTCTCTCCGATGATCAAGGTTCTACATTAAATCTATGGTGAGTATGTGACAAATGTTCTCACGTATTTCATTTGTTGTATTTTAAAGTGGTAGTAAAATTGGCAATTATATAAAAAAAAAAAAAAAACTGGGCTCCCTTTAGGGTTAGGCTATGATGTGCTAGTATGCAATGCTGCCAAGGTCTTTCTTTCAGGTTCTAGGGCTCCAATCCTTGCAATGGCCGGGCCACGATGACATTGTTCTCATGCGTGTGTCCAGAAGTTGCGGTTGCAGCACAGCACTCAGCATTCCATGGCACACTGTGTGGCCCTGGATGCAGAGCATCACTGCGCATGCGTGGGTGATGTCATCAACTACTGCCGATGTGAATATATCCTAAATGGTGCGTGTTTAGGAGATATTCATTGTACCGTATTTGCCGGCGTATAAGACGACTGGGCGTATAAGACGACCCCCCTACTTTTCCTGCTAAAATGTAGTGTTTGGGCTATACTCGCCGTATAAGACTACCCCTCTTCCAGTGCACACCAGTGGGAGGAATAGTGCCCCATCATCGGTATCAGTGGGGGGAATAGTGCCCCATCATCGGTATCAGTGGGGGGAATAGTGCCCCATCATTGGTATCAGTGGGGGGAACAGTGCCCCATCATTGGTATCAGTGGGAGGAATAGGGCCCCATCATTGGTATCAGTGGGAGGAATAGTGCCCCATCATTGGTATCAGTGGGGGGAAATAGTGTCCCATCATTAGTATCAGTGGGGGGAATGGTGCCCCATCATTGGTGTCAGTAGGAGGAATAGTGTCCCAACATTGGTGTCAGTGGGAGGAATGGTGTCCCATCATTGGTGTCAGTGGGGGGTGGAATAGTGCCCCATCGTTGGTGTCAGTGGGGGGGGGATAGTGCCCCATCGTTGGTGTCAGTGGGGGGGACGAATAGTGCCCCATCATTGGTGTCAGTGGGGGTGGAATAGTGCCCCATCATTGGTGTCAGTGGGGGGTGGAATAGTGCCCCATCGTTGGTGTCAGTGGGGGGGGGGGAATAGTGCCCCATCGTTGGTGTCAGTGGGGGGGAGGAATAGTGCCCCATCATTGGTATCAGTGGGAGGAATAGTGCCCCATCATTGGTATCAGTGACACCAATGATGGGGCACTATTCCTCCCACTGACACTTGCTGACTCTGTTCTCGTATGGTGCTGCTGCAGCCAGCATATGTGGTTGCAGCAGCACCTCTACACTGACCACTTACCTGCTGGTCCTGCACTCGATTTTCGCGCGGCGCGCTCGGCTCCACCCTCTCGCCGGTGATTGGCCGCCTGTGTGCCTTTCCTGAGCTACAGTTCTGGGCGGCCAATCGCTGGTGAGGAGGCGGAGCCGAGCAGCCGCGCGAACTCCAGTGGCCGAACTGAAGGCTCAGCCGCGCTTCCTGGACTGGATCGTCGTGGGACCGGAACCAGGTAAGAAATAGCCCCTGCCCACCCCTGTACTTAGTGTCCCTTCCGTTAGGGGAAGGGGGGGGGGCGGCGGCGGCACCGCGCCGCCCCCCTAAAAAGTGTCATGTCATGTTATACCGGCGTATAAGACGACCCCCGACTTTTGAGAAGATTTTTAAGGGGTAAAAAGTCGTCTTATACGCCGGCAAATACGGTAGCTATAGGTAAGCTTGATTGTAAGTACTGTAAGTACAAGTGCACGCAGAGAGTTAAATCTGAATTCTGAGCAGATTTTTTTTTTATTTGACCTACTGCACAGGTTAACTGCTCATTTTATTCTTGGGTAGAGGACAGCAAAGATATATTTACTCCATCCTCCCTGCGCAAATCTAGCCCAGCACCCCCCCCCAACTCCAACGGTCTTGAAAATGGACTGTTCCTGACATCATCACACCCATAGCAGGCTCCAGATAGGAGCAGTCCACCGCTGGACAGTGGGGAAATGCAGTTTTCCAGAGGATTGAACGATCAGGTGAGTGTAAATGTGCTCACCCCTAGAAAAAACAATCAGTTGACCTGTGCAGTGCGGGCACAGCCCGACTGCATGGGGAAAAAATTGCCAGGAGTTAGGTTTTAACTACCACTTTAATGCAGTATGTAGTGGATTTAATAATATTCATAGTTCCAATGCATCAATTAAGTACATTTCAACATTACCAAATCATATTATTATTTTGATTTAAACCTTTCTTGTCATGGATAAACAATAAACCTGCGTTTAAATAATTTGAATGATACTTAACTTCAGTCATTCTATAGAGTAGGCCTTAACTGGGTATCCCCTCCCTCCATCACCATTTTTACCATACTCCTTTTTATATCTATCTCTCTCTAAACTTCACTTGTACGTTTACAGTTTAGTTCTTTGAAAACAACCTATATTTAAAAGGCAACCCTTAAGTGCTCACCATTCCATTTCAAAGCATTCAGTAATGCGCAATTGGTGGTGAGTTGCATCATACCACAATGCACAGGTTGGAACCATCTCTACATTATGGGGCATGAGTTGAAAAAAAGGAACATGTCTGTTTTGTTTGTGAACTGTGGTACATTGACAACCCATTCAAAATGAATAGACTGCCTTATTGTGACATATGACAACACATGAAATATCATACATTAACATCTATTTAGTATCCCACTGCAGCAGATTAGAGAGCTGCACAGGTAGACAGTGACTGAACCTCAGGAAGGGTCAATTATTATTATACAGGATTTATATCGCGCCAACAGTTTGCTCAGCGCTTTACAATATAACAGGAGACAATACAGCAACAATACAGTTCAATTAACTGAGAGTGCTCACCAACACCCTCGCAATTCATTGAGCACTTCAAGCTGTCTGCCACAACGGCAGACGGAACTTGTAGTTCATTCATTCACGGGAAACTGAAGTGAACATGTGGGAGGAGCACCACTTGGCAGAACTATTTTTGAATTGTGACAGCGGGTGAGTAAAAAGGATCCCCCACCTGCTGTCACAGTGGGGGATTGTGGGAGTGTGGGCAGGTTCTCTTTGGTAACGTGTTACACTCTAAATATGGTAACACCCAAAATTGTGTAACATATTACAAAAGATGAAAGGTGTTTTCAGCAAGGACACCAGAAGATTTTTATGACTCTCCTACACTCAAAGTACAGAGGGAAAAAAGTGGACAGTTCTGTATTAATAATTCGCATAATTTGGCATCTGTGTATTAATACATTCTGTTCTAATGTGCTGATTTGGCATTAGTATTGCAATTGCTGTGGAAATTGTTTCCTTGGTAAACAAAGTCAGGGGAATAAGAAGAAGATACCTGCTGTTCCTGAGCTCACCCACATAACCAAAATGACTGGTCCATGCTCATGCCTCCAGCCATCCATAGTAGTGCTTCTCCATCGACAGGAATACATGGGCTGAGTGGTGTGCATTTGCAGCAGGAGCTAGATGCCCCTTGCATAACTTTCTGTAAAGAACAAAGGGGATACTTACAGTTGTATTCAAACATTTGCATCCTCTTGGAGAATTGGTAATATCCAATATGTACCATTTTTAAAGAAAACATGAGTGAGCAGGCAAAAACACATTTCTTTTATTTCTTATAGGATTCATATTCTGTAACTGTAGGTCATAACAGAATGGCACAATCCTAAAACAAAAACATGGCAACAAGTAAGCAAATTAAATGACCCCTGTTCAAAATCATCATCCCCTTAGTTCTTTATACTGTGTATTGCCCCCTTTAGCATCAATAACAGTGTGCATTCTTTTGTAATAGTTGTCTATGAGGCCCTGAATTCTTGCAAGTTGTATAGCTGCCCATTCATCTTGGCAAAATGCCTCCAGGTCATGCAAAGTCTTTTGTCATCTTGCATGTACAGCATGTTTGAGATCTCACAAGAGTGGCTCGATGATTTCAAGTTCTGGAGACCGTGATAACCAGTCCAGAACCTTCACCTTTTTCTGCTGTAACCACTGGCGGGTCAACTTGGCCTTGTTTTTAGGGTCATTGTCATGCTGGAAATGCACAGCTTTTGTGTAGAAGACTGAAAATTGTCTGTCAGTATTTTCTGATAACATGCTGCATTCTTCTTGCCATCAATTTTCACAAAATTCCACGTGCCTTTAGAGCTCATAATCACCCCCCAAAAAAAAAAACATCAGTAAGCCACCACCATACGTCACAGTGAGAATGGTATTCTTTTCACTATAGGCCTTGTTGTCTCCCCTCCAAACATAGTGCTTATAGTTTAGTGACCTTAAAGCTCTATTTTGGTCTCGTCTCTCCAGATTACAGTGTACCAGAAGCTGTGAAGCATGTCAAGGTATTGTCAGGCATATTGTAACCGGCAACTCGACCATGCAGCTCATTTTTGTTAAGGCATTGCTGTATTGTACTCATTTATACAACCATACTGTCTTTTTCCAGAGCAGCCTGTATTTGTCCTGAGGTTACCTGTGGGTTTTTCTTTGTATCCTGAACAATTCTTCTGGCAGTTGCTGCAATCTTTCTTGGACTACCTGACATTGGCTTGGTATCCAAACTTTCCATTTCTTAATAAGTGATTGAACAGTACTGACTGGCATGTGCAAGGCTTTGGATATCTTTTTATATTGTTTTCCATGTTTATAAAGTTCCATTATCTTGTTACACAGGTCTTTTGTCAGTTCTTTTATGCTCACCATAACTCAGTAGCTAGCCTGCTCAGTTTATCCATGTGAGACCTAACAAAATCATTGACTATGCACAGACACTAATTGTAATTTAAAAAGCCACAGATATAGCAATTAACCTGTAATTGCCATTTTAACCTGTATGTGTCACCTTGTGTGTCTGTACCAAGGCCAAACATTCCAGGGGATGGAAACTTATGATCATGGCCGTTTAGGTGATTTCTGTTATATTTATAATTTCAAAAGGAGCCAAACAACTATATGATAATAAATGGCTTTATACAGTCAGGTCCATAAATATTGGGACATCGACACAATTCTAACATTTTTGGCTCTATATACCACCACAATGGATTTGAAATGAAACAAACAAGATATGCTTTAACTGC